TCTTTTTGAGATTATGGTTTAATAGGGACATTCCCAAGGGGAAAAAAATGTGCTTGCAATGTTTGCTTGCGTTCCAAAAGAAATCTATGAAAACAGGGACAAGCTAAACTGCTATGTGTGTTCTAATGTATGTTAGTCATAATACAGTTTCTTGCAGCTATAAATAAGGAGTCTGTATCGCCGGGAACTCTATAACAACTTATTTAAGGAGTCTGCAGTCAGCAAGCCGCTGGAATGGGCAAATACTTTCAGTTCCCAACCTGAAGGAAGTGGAATAGGCGCTCCCATATAATTTCCTTCAGGTTGTGAGCTTACAGGGAATGGAGAAGCTCCATCTGGACCTTAAAGAAGCCACCTGTCTTGCATTTCTCTGCAGTCGTGAGAAACCACATATCCAGTTCCATGTATATGCAGCCAAGCTCCAGATACATGCGCTACACTTAGTCCCCCCCCCATGATGATTTTGCCCTAGTTTGAAGCTGTTTCTTCACCCTCCTGATTTACTTTTTGAAAATCCCATGCAGAGATGTCATTGCCTGAACTTCTGTGAAATTCAGAGTAATTTGTTCGGTTGCCGAGGCAGACCTCTGGAAAACGTCGCCTTCATTGGTCGAATCTGCATTTGCATTTTTTAAGTCAGTTTTGTGCTGCGGTGACGCCGTTTTTCTCTATGCTTGTTTGAATGTTGTTTGGAGAAGATTCTTTTAAAGCTGGGCAGAGGTGCAGTGACAGTGGAGCCCCCCACGAAAGGGCAATAAACATGCTGACGTGCAAAAGTATGCCAGCACTGTTGAGGTGTGAAAACGACACCAAATGTAGACAGATTTTTTAAAGGTTTCAGAAGGCTGGGACACCGGTGGGAAAGACAAATGCAGATTCGACCATTGTCTCTGTAAAATTGGCCGTGGAAGTGCTGACGGGCCAGATCCTAGTGTTGTGACTTAGCTTTGCCGAAATAGCACTGCTACTGCCCCTCTAATGATCCCAAGCCTCGGCAGTTTAGATTTCAGCATCGGAGCAGGAAGGCAGCTGGGAAGTGTAGCTATCAAAATAAACCAGGCTGAGCTTGTGTTTGCATTCAAGTTCCTTGTCGCAAATTAAATATTCCATGCATCACCTTGGTGATGTATGTCGACAGGCTGAACAGGTTTCTGTCTCCCCTTTGGTAGTTTCTGAGGCCATTAGGCCCTGTCAGCCATCGATCAGAACACGCTGTTCTGCAGAATCTTGGAATGATCGAAACCGACTTTCCGGTTGTTTGCTAAATTCTTGCGTCAAGCAAGTGACTCCCCCCCCCTCACGGGTGACCCTGGGCTTCCTTGGTGGTTTCCCATCCAAGTACGAACCCTGCTGAGCTTCAGATGAGATCGGGATAGTCCGGGTCATTCAGGTCAGGCCTTCTAACCTGTAACGCCCAAAATAGTCTGCAGCCAGAGTAACTGAAGAACTGGCTGCTTCCTTCCGTATGAACCTGCCCAATGTAATTAAGGGCCACTTTTCTCTTCGGGTCCCCCCATCCTTGGAAGGTAACTTGGGTGTGAACCCCAGGGGGCAGGGCCTTCCAGGGCAAGTATTTTGTGGAATTCTCCTTCATGTCTGTTTGACCGGCAGCTCCTTTGATAACTTTCAGGCACCAAGCGAAGATGTTTCATTTCCATAGGGTTTTAATAGCCTCCAATGTACTAATGTTGCTATTGCATTTAGGGTTGCCAACTCCAGCTTGGGAAATTCCTGGAGATTTGGGGGTGGTCCCCGAGGGGGGCAGACGTCAGTGGGTTACAAGGCCATAGAGTCCACCCTCCACAGCATCCATTTCCTCCAGGGGAATCTGACCTCTGTAGACAGAAGATCAGTTGTAAGTGTGAGAGAACTCCAGGTCTTGCCTGGAAGTTGGTAACCCAGGTTGCATCTGTCAGTGGTTGTTTTTTTTAAAAAAAATCCTTACATTTTAAAGTGCATTGCTAAAAAAGCCGTAGCTGTAAGGCAAGATATAAATATTTGGAATTACTAAGGAATAATTTTGTCGTGGTCTGGAACACAGTTGCTCAGAAGTGAGTTCCACTAATGGTAATGCACTTCCATTCAAACGAAGCTTGCTTGCATGTTTATCCTAAGGCTACATTTATATTTGCATTTTCTCCCACCACTGAACTTCCTCTGAGCGACAAAGTTTGGAAAGACCTTCTATCTACACCTTTGAGGAAAGCCCTCCTGCGCCCCCTATGGGTTGGTGCCTGGGGAAGAAGACCTTTGCAGTGGCTGTAAAGGTAACAGATCACAAAGGTGACCTGTAACACAGGTGCCAGATCACGAGTGAATCCATGACTAATACCTTGCAGTTGGCCACTTTGCCTGTGTTGAAGGTTGCTTTTTTTAGAGCTCCAAGGACAGTGTTTAGGCTTGAAGTCCCGTATTGGAGCAGGTGTGGCATAATGGCTAAAAGGCTGATTGGGAAGGTCCCAGTCACAAATATCTCTCTTCCACCATGAATTCTTTAAATATATATACATTTTTTAAGGAGATACAGAAAGAAAAAAGGGAATAGGGAAAAACCACAGGAACTATAACCACCAAAAACATAACGTAAGGGCAATTTTACAGATGTTGAGGACATTCCTTGATCAGATTATATGTGTATATTAAAGAAGAAGAGAATGGATTTATACCCCAGCCTTCACTACCTAAAGGAGTCTCAGAGTGGCTTACAAACTCCTTCCCCTTCCCCTCCCCACAACAGACACCCTGTGAGGTAGAGGTGGGGCTCAGAGAGCACTGACAGAAACTGCTCTTTTTCAAGAACAGCTCTTATCAGAACTACGGCTTGCTCAAGGTCATCCAGCAGCTGCAAGTGGAAGAGTGGGGAATCAAACCTGGTTCTCCCAGATTAGAGTCTGCACACTTAACCACTACACCAAACTGGCTCTCTATAGTATATAGAGTATATAGCATAATAGCTTAACAAATATATAACATGATATATATAGCGTAACGGCATAAGAATATAGTTTTAAAATATATATGACATAATAACTTAAAAGATCAGCATAATGACCAACTCGATATATTCTACCGTTTTCTCGTACTGTATTATCGTTTTTATCTTCTCGATCTTATCTGTTATATGGTATAACATAAATAAGCACATAGGGATTTTTATAAAATTTTCACACAACAGTTTTTTGTAGTAAACAGCAATTAATATGATATTTCATATTAAAACTGTCATATAGAATTGTCGTATAATATTAGACCATTCAGATGTATAACTGGAGAGACTGGTTATAATAATCATAATAATAATTATAATAATCATAAAAAACATGCCATGAATTCATTAGGTGGCCATAAACAAGGCAAGTCCTCTCAAAGTCTTCTGTCTTATTAGCGTTATGGTGATAGATCATGATCGCTGGGGTGGATCCCACCCCATCCTACCACCCCACAGACCAAAGTTAGTATATTTATTAAAATATTTAAATTACACCCTCCATTCTGGCCCAGTTTCGAAGCCTTCCTCCAACAAGTCGTTCTTTTGTTGGAGGAAGAGCTGTTTAAGTTGGAAGAAGGCCCCAACCTCCAAGTGGTACCTGGAATTCTCCTGCTAGTTTGTAGAGGTTAGGAGCACAGACTCTAACCTAGGAGAACCGGGTTTGATAACCCACTCCTCCGCATGCAGCTGCTGGGTGACCTTGGGCAAGCCACAGTTCTCTCTGAGCTGTTCTCTCAAGAGCAGGTCTCTCAGAGCTCTCTCAGCCCCACCTACCTCACAGGGTGTCTGTTATGGGGAGGGGAAAGGAAGGAGATTGTAAGCCGCTCTAAGACTCCGAGTGAAGGGTGGGGTATAAATCCAACCTCCTTCTCCTCCTCCTCTGCCTCCTCCTCAACAAGATCAGTTCCCCTGGAGAAAATGGTGGCTTGAAGGGTAGGCTCTATGGCAGTTTATCCTCCTCAAACCCTTCCCTCCCCAGACCACAACCCAAAAATGTCCTGGTATTTCCCCAACCATTAGCCGGCAACCCTACCCATTAGGCCGTGGAGACAGATGGATTCACCCAACTGTCTTCCAGGGGTGTAGTAAGGATTGAAAACACAAAGTATTCCTTTGATTCCTAAGGCAGTCAAATGCATTCAGAACACCTGGAATCTTGGGAGCAGGGCTATTTTTGGGCAGGAACGCACAGGAACGGAGTTCCGGCTGGCTCCCGAGTTGGCCACGCCCAGCAGGAACTCATTAGCATAATAGGCCACGCCCAACAGCAGAAACTCATTAGGATTGGCTACTTTAGGGGTGTGTGGCCTAACATGCAAAGGAGTTCCTGCTACAAAAAAAGCCCTGGGTTTTGACAACAAGGTAAACAGAATAAGAAGCAAAAGGTGGGTGTGGCTGGATGACCACACTTCTGGTAACATGGGGGTACGGCCTAGTATGCTAATGAGCTGTGTTGTCAGGGGTGTGGCCTAATGTGCTAATGAGTTTCTGCTGTTGGGTGTGGTCTGTTATGCTAATGAGTTCCTGCTGGGACGACAGAGAACTGAGTTTTTAAGCGTCTGCTGGGAGTGCCAAGCATAGAACTCACAGGGCGTGTCTAGTTTGCATGGATAATAAATGCAGATCCCTTCTTTGAGTTTTGAACGCTTCAAAATGAACACTTTGGTATCTTTGTGTAACTTTATATCACTTCAAAATGAACACCGGGTCTCTTTCTCGTACAGTTGGCTGTATTGGTCCTTAGCCCGACCAAGCTGCAAGTGGAATCATGGATAATAAATGCAGATCCCTTTGCGTTCTTTGAGTTTTGAACTCTTCAAAATGAACACTTTGGTATCTTTGTGTAACTTTACATCCCTTCAAAATGAACACCGCGTCTCTTTCTCGTACAGTTGGCCGTATCGATCCTTAGACCGACCAAGCTGCAAGTGGGAATACAGGCTGCTAATGAATATTTGTCTCTGTTTTGTTTAGAGCAAACTTCAGATCTTAGAAGAAACAAAGAACAAAAATGCCTTTGTTTAGCAAATCATACAAAAACCCTGCTGAGATTGTGAAATCTCTGAAAGAAAACATGGCCATATTGGAGAAGCAGGATAAAAAAACAGACAAGGTATGACGTAATGTGTCAAACGGCAATGTTGATAATCTATTTGTTTCATAGTTGGGGAGGGGGGTCATTTAAAGGGGTGGAAATTGCTGTGAAACAATTATTTGTGATGGTTCTTACATGCATGTATAACATTATGGCAGAGCATGATAAATTTTCTTTGCCTTTACGAGCCACCCCAAAAATCTAGAAGCCAGAGTTAACCAGACTTTCTAGTTACTGCTGGCATTAAGCCTAACCCTAAACTCTTCACGCTCCTTGTCATTTTTTTTAAAGCTATAACAAGTGTTGTAGCATGTAAATAAAAATGGGGTAATGCTGGTTTTCATCACGATGAAAAGCTAACCTCTGTACCTCACCTAGATAAGCTTTGTACTCCTACTGAGAATCACAGAGAGGCGCTTACAATACATTATTATCAATTGGACTTATTGATCGCCCTATCCCAACAAAAGCTTGACTGCCACAAGGTCTAGGGAGCTTTTCTTGGTCATTACTGATCAAGGGATGATGCCCGGTGCGATGTGTCAAGAATTAGCAAAACAAAAAATCCATGCCCTGACCTGGATAGCCCAGGCAAGCCTGATCTCGTCAGATCTCAGAAGCTAAGCAGAGCCGACCCTGGCAGGTACTTGGAAGGGAGACCTCCAAGGAATACCAGGGCTGAGATGCAGAGGCAGATGATCGAGCCACCTCTATGAAATGTCCTAGCCACAGTAGGGGGTCACCAGAAGTCACTATGACTTCCAGGCACACAAGCATGTACACAGACACGCACAGACACATAGACACAAAGAATTAGTGAAAAACCAAGTCTTCGCCGGTTCCTATATGTGGCAATCAGTCACCGTCCCTGATTCCTATTCAGGCGGGGTTCATTCATCCTTGGACTGCTGTGCTAGAAGCCAAAGTGATAGAACAGCGGCTAGAAATCTGCGTGCCCATTGACAGTTCACAGGATTACAGTC